TGTTTAACAAATGGTGTTGGGAAAACTGGCTAGCCATGTGCAGAAAGCAGAAACTGGACCACTTCCTGACACCTTACACTAAAATTAACTCCAGATGGATTAAAGACTTAAACATAAGACCTGGCACCATAAAAACCCTAGAAGGAAATCTAGGCAAAACTATCCAGGACATAGGAGTAGGCAAGGACTTCATGAACAAAACACCAAAAGCATTGGCAACAAAAGCCAAAATAGACAAATGGGACCTAATCAAACTCCACAGCTTCTGCACGGCAAAAGAAATAGTCACTAGAGTGGATCGGCAACCAACAGAATGGGAAAAAATTTTTGCAGTCTACCCATCTGACAAAGGGCTGATATCCAGAATTTACAAAGAACTCAAACAGATTTACAGGAAAAAAACAAACAAGCCCATTCAAAAGTGGGCAAAGGATATGAACAGATACTTTAAGAAAGAAGACATATATGAGGCCAACAATCATATGAAAAAATGCTCATCGTCACTGGTCATCAGAGAGATGCAAATCAAAACCACATTGAGATACCATCTCACGCCAGTTAGAAAGGCGATCATTAAAAAATCTGGAGACAACAGATGCTGGAGAGGATGTGGAGAAAAAGGAACACTTTTACACTGTTGGTGGGAGTGTAAATTAGTTCAACCATTGTGGAAGACAGTGTGGCGATTCCTCAAGGCCTTAGAAATAGAAATTCCATTTGACCCAGCAATCCCATTACTGGGTATATATCCAAAAGACTATAAATCGTTCTACTATAAGGACACATGTACACGAATGTTCATTGCAGCACTGTTTACAATAGCAAAGACCTGGAATCAACCCAAATGCCCATTGATAATAGACTGGATTGGAAAAATGTGGCACATATACACCATGGAATATTATGCAGCAATCAGAAATGATGAGTTCGTGTCATTTGTAGGGACATGGATGAATCTGGAGAACATCATCCTCGGCAAACTGACACAAGAACAGAAAATGAAACACCGCATATTCTCACTCATAGGTGGGTGATGAAAAATGAGAACACATGGACACAGAAAGGGGAGTACTAAACACTGGGGTCTATTGGGGGGAAAAGGGGAGGGCCAGTGGGAGGGGGAGGTGGGGAGGGATAGCCTGGGGAGAAATGCCAAATGTGGGTGAAGGGGAGAAGAAAAGCAAAGCACACTGCCATGTGTGTACCTACGCAACTGTCTTGCATGCTCTGCTCATGTACCCCAAAACCTATAATCCAATAAAAAATTAAAAAAAGAAAATGAAGTTAATGAAACCTAAGCAAATCTGTCTAGAAATTTCTACTATAGACGATATTATTTTCCTAGGGGAAAAAAGCAGAATTTGTAGGGTGACTAATAAGCAATAATATCTATCACCATGAAAAGGGTTGATTATATATATAGAAGTCATTCATTATTATTGCTGAGAAATGTATATGTTACACACAGAAGCATACACACTGGCATACACCCACACACTCTCTAAAGATTTCAGAGAAATCCCCTTCAAAATACTCCTTCCATTTAATTTTATGTAAGATTGAAAAATGTGAGTGAAGCACATTACTTATGTTCTGTATAAAAGAATGATTCATTATTATTTTCTTCAACCATAACTCAATAGTTTGTGATGTATTTAATCTTAACCTAAAGAAAACTAGAATAAGAGCCAGGGAACTTAGATAGGTAAACTTAGGAAGTCATTTAATCTCTCAGGTCTGCCTACTTCACAGAGTAGCTTCACAGATGAAATGTAGATAGAAAAGTTCTTTGGAAAAGTAAAGTAACCTATAAATGCAAGATAGTGTTTCTTTTGTTGTTACTCTATGAAAGTGAACCATTAGAAATCTGATGCCAAATGTGGGCATACATTCAGCCATAAAACATAGCCTTTTGAAACATTCACTCTGGATAAAACATCTTTTGTTTTTTCACTAGTATCATACACCATACTGCATATTAAACAGGATACACTGAGCTCTGTAACATAGGACGTTAAATGCCATAAAAATAAATTTTAGACTATTGGCCTGTTTAAGGAGTATGTTTTTAACTTCTCCAGACTGCAGTAAAACACAACTCAATTCCTTGTAACTTACAAATCATTCATTAATTTTCATATATTCAGTGTATAAGAAAAACATCCCTCCCCATCCCTGCCTCACAGTTGCTTCCAGATCGCTGTAGCACTAAAATGTAAGCTAGTTATGGGCAAGAGTTTTTGTTGAACGATTCATTACTTTCATATGAATTATTATAATTATATAATTATCATAACATACTCATTATTCTATACTATTATTATTATAGACACCTTGTAAATTAGGCCTGATTTCATGATTGTCATCCAAATGGAGTCTAAAGCTGAGGAACCCCAGGCCTTCCTCTCATCCCTCCACTCTCTCAGGTCAACTTCATGCATCACAACCTGCACAGAAAATGCAGAAATGAACATTCTTTTTCTTCTAGGTTGCTTTTCTGCTATTGAATTGCCTAATTTCATGGGTATAGTGGAGAGTGATCCGTAAATATTGTAACCAGCACCATCAGGGTTTCTTTGCTGATAGCTCAGAATGCTGATAATACCAGTAAAAGCTATGGACCCTAAAAATGGTTCTTGAATATGTTTTTGTGCCACTGACTTGAATTTGGTTCTGCATTCAAAACAGCCACCTTACTCATGTATGCTGTAATTTTTACAAGGACAGAGTGAGACAATAACTGGTTGGCTTGAATTTATCATTCCTGATGAAAGGCAAAAACAAGCAAACAAAAACCTTTTAAACACAGATTCTGTGGGGCTGGGCTGATTCTGTCAACTATCCTCTTGAAGAACTTGATAATGGTTACCCAAACTCAACTGAGCCGACTCAGGGGTACCAAGAGATTATGTTGGTACAGTCTGAAGAGATGAAGTATGCTTCTGATTTTAACTGCAATATAAAATTTCAAAAGCTGTTTCATTTTCCCCCTATTTTAAATAACAGCCTTCTAAATGGGCATATTTAGAGGGCAAATATATCTTCTACACGAGATCCATAATACCTAGTCTAGGGGCAGAGGTTTCAGAAACCAGACCATTTGCCAGCTCAGATTTTAGCAAGAGGTAGAACAAGGTGTTTGCTACATTTGGCTGGAGCTAGGCTGCTCCCAGTGGGTTCCTGTGGTTTAGGTTCCACTAGGGGTCTATCTTTCAGGAAGTGGCACTTAGCTGGTAACTGTGCTGTGTGACACAGAAAAAAATAAACAGCAACCATTGTGGAAGACAGTGTGGCGAATCCTCAAGCGCCTAGAAATAGAAATTCCATTTGACCCAGCAATCCCATTACTGGGTATATATACAAAGGATTATAAATCATTTTATTATAAAGACATATGCACACGTATGTTCACTGTGGCACTGTTTAGCAAAGACCTGGAACCAGTACAAATGCCCATCGATGGTAGACTGGAAAGGGAAAATGTGGCACGGATACACCATGGAATACTATGCAGCCATGAAAAATGATGAGTTTGTGTCCTTTGTAGGGACATGGATGAATCTAGAAACCATCATTCTCAGCAAACTGACACAAGAACAGAAAAATCAAACACTACATGTTCTCACTCATAGGCGGGTGATGAACAATGAGAAAACATGGACACAGGGAGGGGAGCATTACACACTGATGGGGGGATTGGGGAAGGAGAGCAGGAGGTGGGGAGTAGGGGAGAGATAACATGGGGAAAAATGCCAGATATAGATGACAGAGGGATGGAGGCAGCAAACCACATTGCCATGTATGTACCTATGCAACTGTCCTGCATGATCTGCACGTCTACCCCAGAAACTAAAGTACAATTAAAAAAATAAATAATTAAACAGCACACTGTCTTCTCTACTTCTCAGTTTTCTGGGCCCAGTCTTCAAAACTAAATCCACATTCAAGTTCAAGATATAGAGGATGGCATCTTGTGTTCCTCTTTGTGGAAGTAGTAGTCTTACAACTTAAAGATGTAATTTTATTTTTTTGAGGCAGGGTCTTGTTGTGTCACCCAGGCTGGAATGCAGTGGCACAATCACTCCTCACTGCAGCCTTGATCTCCTGGACCCAAGCAATTCTCCCACCCCAGCCTCCCAAATAGAGTACCTGAGATTACAGGATGCACCACCACTATGCCTGGCTAACATATATATATATATATATATATATATATTTTTTTTTTAATAGCGATGAGGTTTCACTATGTTGCCCAGGCTGGTCTCAATCTCCTGGGCTCAAGCAATTCATATGCCTCAGCCTCCCAAAGTGCTGGGATCACAAGCATGAGCCACAGCACCTGGCTTAAGATGTAATTTTTGTTGTTGTTACTGTTGTTGAGACGGAGTTTCGTACTGTGGCACCGGGGTGTAGTGCAGTGGTGTGATCTCAGCTCACTGCAACCTCCGCCTCCCAAGTTCAGGCAATTCTCCTGCTTCAGCCTCAAAATAGCTGGGATTACAGGTGCCCACCACCACGCTCAGTTCGTTTTTTGTATTTTTAGTAGAGATGGGGTGGCCAGGCTGCTTTCAAATTCCTGACCTTGTGCTCCGCCTACCTCAACCTCCCAAAGTTCTGGGATTACAGGCATGAGCCAATGCGACTGACCAATATGTAATTTTTAAATACACTTAATGGTGGCCAATTTATCATCATACACAGAATCACCCAACAGATTTGCTCTTTAGGTCCTGAGTAAATATTCTACAATTCTATTTTATTAATTAATCTTTTGAATTTTATTCACAACTAGGCTAAATATCACTTGGTTATAAGAAAAAAAAGACTTCATGTTGCAAGCAATGTAAATAGTGTATTTTTATGATATCATTGTGCTGATTTCTCACTATTTTAACTCTCTGGGGTAAGAGTATAAGAAAGTGCAATTGTTTGACTTTTCAAATAAACAAGTGTAACAATCTAAAAGTTATATTTTCTTGTCCTTGTGTTTTTCATTTCAGGAAACATCCCAGTTACCTGGACTCCCTGAGTTTGTTAAGATAGTGGAAGTTGGACCTAGGGATGGATTGCAGAATGAAAAGGTAGTCTTACACCATTTATTTCAAATGCTGTCTAAATACTAAGAGGTTTAAGATTTTAAAGATTGACATGCATTTCATATGTTACATGATTATGTATTTTTTGTCCCTTGCTACCTGAATTTATAAATTACAATTAATACTCACTTTGACTTAGGAATTTTCTGTTTGTGCTTCAATAGACCCTATATAATTAACTTATAAAATATTTTCTTTTGTTTTTATAGGTTATAGTTCCTACAGATACAAAAATTGAATTTATCAATCGACTTTCCCAAACTGGCTTGTCTGTAATAGAAGTGACTAGCTTTGTGTCTTCCAAATGGGTACCACAGGTATGTAAACCCACAAATTCTTAATTAGATCCTAATTCAACTTTACCAAAAATTATTTAGTAAATACTGTGATATTAACTTGATATAATTACTAACTTTCCATATTCTTACAAAATATTAGCCTGTGGACTGTGATATGATTAAATAAACACCCTTTGATGACATCCTAAAAGTTACCTAGAACTTTATACTAAGTCTGTGTGAGTTTGGTTCAATATAATGAATAGGGGACAAGGCCTTGAAATAGCATTTTAGGGGTCTGCCCTATCTTTATCATTTTATGGCTGACTTTCTAAATAATCTGAACATCTCTGAATACATTACTCATTTTGTCTGTTAGAAGCCAATGATACTAAGTATCCTGATAGCTTCCTTCTAGAATCCCACATTAAAGAGTGAGAAATGGAGAGACATACTCCGTTTTCTTTGCTTTTTTTTTTTTTTGACACTTGTATTTGCTATAGGGACACAGCATCAAATAGATAACTGAAGACAAAGCAGAGTCATCTAGAATTTTGCCTTGAAAGATGACTAAATGATAGAGCTCTCTCTCAAGTTTTCTGGCATGTGGCAGCAGTTATCACTTCTGAAACTTGACTGATCTTTGAAACATCACTAATAATCAGCAACCAGTGAGATGCTCTCTCTTCCTCATCCCAGTCCTTGGATCCCTTAACTTCTCCACAGCAGTTAGTTTCACCAACTACTCTTGATACCATTTCCTTAGTTTCCATTATTCTCTAATGAATCAGGGATTTTCCCAATTGGTCTTTCTCTGTCATCTCTGACATCTCTCTTCACCTCTTAGTTTAAGGCTCTGCTAAGATTCTGTTTTCAGTACTTTTCTCAGCCTATCCTCTTTTCTTTGGCTATCTTTCCAACACTAACAGTCACATCTTTGAGGACAACACATTTGCATTTCTAGTCCTGCCTTCCCTGATAAGCTTCAGGTGGATGTACCATCGCCACCTCAATCTTACTGGGTTAAAATCAAATTTATTTTCCATACTGCTTCATGCCAGCAGTGCAACTCTTTCCTCTAAAACCCTGGACTTGAATCTTTAAAGAGCTGTCTTTGTACCCCATTATTGTCAATGGTCAGTTAGGGATACTGACCATATATAACAGAATAGCAGAGACTGGGTAGCTTAAACAGCAGGATAATTATTTCTTAGTTCTAGAAGCTGGGAAGTCCAATGTTTAGGCACTGGCAGATCCCACATCTGGTGAACACCCACTTCCTTATTTGCGGATGGCCACATTCTCATTGTATCTTCATACGGTGGAGAGCAGACAGGGAGCACACCCATGTCTCTTCTTATCATGTCACTAATACTATTCATGAGGGCTTCACCCCCATCACCTAATTATCTTTCAAAGACCCCTCCTTTTAATATCATCACATTACAGGTTAAAATTTGAACATAAGAATTTTGAGAAGATGCAAACACATTCAGTCCACAGCAGACACCGATGTGTGAAATGTCTTCGTTTTCAATATGGCCTATACTTGTCTCTTCTTTTCAGTCCCATTGATACGTTAGTGATTCAGAGTTTCATTAAATATTATTGCAGTAGTCTCTTAAATGGTATTCATAAGCAGTTTCTCCTTCTTTATACTTTCCTTGTAAGATAATCTTCCAGAAATATTAGCTTTCAGAAAGGCATATTTGTTTTCCTTCCCTTCCTTCCTTCCTTCCTTCCTTCCTTCCTTCCTTCCTTCCTTCCTTCCTTCCTTCCACCCTCCCTCCCTTCCTTCCCTCCTTCTTTCCTTTTATGAATTAATCTTTTGAATTTTATTCATAACTAGGGAACAAACCTAGAATAAAGCATTTCATTTTATAGTCCCATCACAAGGAAGTCCGTCCCTCCCTCCCTCCCTCCCCCCCTCCCTCCCTTCCTCCTTCCTTCCCTTCTCCCCCTTTCTTTTTTTTTTTCTTTTTCAGTTCAGGGGTACAAGTGCAGGTTTGTAACTTAGGTACAGATCTGGCGTTTGTTGTACAGATTGTTTCATCACTTAGGTCCTAAGCCTACTATCCATTACTTATTTTTCCTTATCCTCTCCCTTCCCCCACTCTCAACTCTTCCATAGGCCCCAGTGTGTGTTGTTCCCCTCCGTATGTCCATGTGTCCTCACCATTTAGCTCCCACTTATAAGTGAGAACACGCAGTATTTGGTTTTGTATTCCTGTGTTAGTTAAGGTGTTAAGGTGTTCGATAATGGCCTTCAGCTTCATCCACATCCCTGCAAAGAACATGACTTCATTCTTTTTATGGCTGCATAGTATTCCATGGTATATATGTACTAAATTATGTTTATCCATTCTAACATTTATGGGCATTTGGGTTGATTACATGTATTTACTATTGTGAATAGTGCTGCAATTAATATTCAGATGCATATGTCTTTATGATAGAATGATTTATATTTCTTTGGGTATATACACAGTAATGGGATTGCTGGGTCAAATGACATTTCTGTCTTTAGGTCTCAAAGTCACATTCTGAGTTCTTTAATGGGTCCCTTCTTTCCATTGACAAAGCCTAGAAACTGGTTGGGTATTCAAGACTGTCTACACCTGGTCCCATTTTTTCCCCTTTAGCTTTAACTGTAGTACTGTTAACCATATTATTCTGTGGAAGTTACTGCTAAACCAAACTGCTTCTTACCCGCTTTTTACATGTCCTGCTCTTTGTCCATATAGCATTTTACCTATACTTGCTTATGTACATCTACATTTCTGCGTTTCTCTGCAGTTAGAACTCAATTAGGTCAACAAGGCTCAAAACATGAAAGGCTTTTTAATTGTACTACATTTGAAGTAACAGAAGCCACAAGAGGATTAAGAGTAGTAGTAATATGTCACATTTCACAGAGGGTTACCTTTATCCTCAAAAGAAACTAATTTTCTTTATCCTATTGTCACTGTTTATGGTGTATACATAGATACTATACATGTATCTGTACATATAAAATATGTAAATATTTTTGATTAGTCACTACCTGTACCATAAATATTATAAAAGTACTGATTGTTTATGTATTTTTAATCTTTTCCTCATCACTGTATACCCATTTCTTGGTACAGTAAGTTTGTGCTCAATAAATAATTGTAAAATAAATAATGAATCAATCAGCCTGAGAGAACAATACCATATTACTTTCAATTCTCTGGTATGAGCAATTGACTCTCACTTTGTTCATGTATGTGGTCCTGTACAATGAAGGTCGCAAAAATATTTTTTAGGACAACACTACTAGCTTGATTAAGCTAGACATATGATCTTAAAATTGTCAATTTGCAAAATGCTAGCTATTATTTCACTAGCCACTAATAATTTTAAACGAATGCTATACCTTTTTATTCTTTTTATCTTCATCAAGTTACTTCTGTTTTTGATATAGTTTTTCTAATTTCATGTATTTGATTATTGCTGGAGAGAAACTAGACAGGCTACTATAACTTTAGAATTAATGTTATGATAGAGAATAGATTTTGCTAATATTATTTAACAAATATTGACCAACCAAAGTTATATTTCAAATACTAAATATTGCTAGCCATCTTTGAACTTCTCTTATTTCTCAGCAGTTTTATAAAGCTGCCTACAAAATAGTCTTTCCTATAGTAATGTTCATGGCCATATTCTCATATTGTGCAATAGTGGAAATTGATGAGAGATTGTTTTTAAAACTGATTTAGGACATACCCAGTGACATCAAGAAGGATGAAGGGGAAATCCTTTTTAGAAGGCCACACTTCTTGCATAGCTAGTTAAGTGAAAAGATGGACAAAAGAAAGAAAAAGGCAGTCCTTTTGTGAGAAGTAATTGGAAAATGCTTCCTGACCTCACATTAAGTAGATATATGTGATGGGACTATAAAATGATATGATTTATTCTGGGTTTGTTCCCAAGTTGAATTTAGGGCTTAACCTATTGAAATTTAATGAACTCTTCCTGGGCTCAAAGTATTACCAAATAAGTGACTGAATTCCCTCACATAGATTTTGAGGACAGCTGTGGTGAGAGGAAGTGCTTCTAAAACTGTGTCCCTGTTCACATTCTGCCTTGAACTTGAGTAAGTGACTTAACCTCTCTGAACCCTGGAAATCCCAGAAGCAATGCCCGCAGTGCTGGAGTGTTGGAGATTATAAGGCACGTGAATTGTCCCTGTGTATGAATGCCCACAGCCCAGAGCACCTGACTCCTGACCAGTGCTCACTGCTGTTACTTAAGGGAATGGCTGACTAATAGACTTACTGGCTGATCTTGAGCTCTACACAAGTTAACTGCCTTTTCTGATAACCAGCCTTTATTCTGAAGGTTAAAGTATATGTATACTTACAGTATTGAGTTGAGCTCAAGTTGAATAATTGAAGACACTCTGCCTTTCAAATACTAAAGACTATGTTATATATTTTACTTTAACATTCATCTGGTTACATACATTCCAAATTTTTAAGTGGTTTAAATAAATCACAAACTTGTAAAAGATCAGTGTGCCTGAATCCAAGAAAGATATAAAATTCATTTTCCAAAGTTGTATCAGTCACTTACTATGTGTTGTATCAAATATTTGTCAAAGGCAAATATTGAGGGTATTCTACTTTTGCAATTTGATTTTAGATTTCACTGAGCTTATCTGAGCAGAGCATTTTAAAATTTCTCTTTCAAAATTTGATATTACTCTCTTATTTTAGAAAAAATATCTTATGAGGTTGGACTTGTCTAACTTAAAATAACGTCTGAGATTTTTGACGATCATTTTAGAACAACAGCTTACATATATATTGGTTGAAATAATTTCTACTTTTAAGGACAATGTGTGTGGCTCTAAATTGGCATTCTGTTAATTCTCTGCATCTTATATTTTTCCTTCAAACGTAGGTCATGGGAATAGTCCTCTAGTTGATGTTTAGATTGCTGTTTGATCACTTATTTCTTTTTTTAGGATTTTAAAGCTTTTTTACAGTTTTCCTCCTACTGTTTTGTTTGGCAAAGACTTTCTAACTCAAACAGCTAAAAGAAAAGTTCCACAGTAGCAGGGTGCCATATAAAACAGGATCCCACACCTATAACCTGAATGGCTAGAGATGATAAAATACCTGTCATTAAAAAATACACATTCTTTACAACTTATCTGAAAAAAGCTTTCCTGAGAGTGACATGAAATATAAGAACATTTGAAATAAGTCCAGATAGTCCCTCACTTAGATGGAATGAACAATAGCACCAGAAAGGAAACATGTTTATAAAAATAGATAAAGTTTATTGCAACTTTGGAATGTGGCTGTTAGTAGTAAGCCATTTAAGCTATAAATAAAATCTATTAAAAAGTGGACTAGAGTTTTACCTTCATCTTTAATTTAGCCATTTGATTGTAAATATTTTAATTCACAGCAAATAAAGTGAATATCAGTTATTTAAAAATAAAAATACATGAAATATATATAAAATTGTACATTTATATATGCCATAGGCAAAGATTTAGTTTAAAAATATTTGCTCCCTGATTAGCTATTTTTTAACTGTTGGATTAGATGGGTCACAAGTCTTAACAGCAGAGAATGAAGATAGATTTTCTTTATAAAAGTAGGAAGAAATATATGTAAAAGACTAATAATTATTTTCAAGTCACTCTAATGACTGACTACGCACAATGTTAGAGAGAAGTAACGTGTAAACTCACCCCTACTCTCCTTTAGGTGTGTGATACAAGTGGCTCTTTACTGGCATTGAAAACACATTTATTGGACTGAAGTTTAAATTTCAGATTTACATTGATGAGATGCAGGAGGCTGTAGCTTCTGCTACCAAATCTATTCCTGATGTCTCCTCCTAGCTCTTTTCTTTTTGAGCAAAGTAGGTGTGGAGAAGAGTCAAAGGATGTAATTTTGAAGAGGCGTTTATACGTGTTGGGGGGGCGGTGGTGAAAGAGAGAGTGAGAGAGAAAGAAAGAGGCAGAGAGCCCCCAGATTGCTTGCTTATAAGGCACAGTTCACTCAGAAAAACTTTACATTTGGGAAAGGTTCCAGAGTAAGACTCATCATCCATGACAGTCCTGATGAGTTGGCCTCTGTCACCTTCCCAAAGAGGTTCCTGATGAAATTTACCAAGAACACAGTTATTATTCCTTGGCGCTATAGGAGTCCTTTGCCCAGATAAGTTGGGGAGAGGAGAATGCAGGTTGAAAGAGGGAGCGAGACTTAAACCAAATTCTCTCCAAATGAGCCTGACTTAAAATACTAAATTCTGTGCATAGAACACTATTTTCTCCTACACACTAAGATGCCAGCATAGAGGTCAAAACCATATTGTGACCCAACTCTCACTTAACTGATGACCTACTCAGCAACTGAGTCTTCCACATATTTTTGAGATGCAGATGTGCTGAATTATTCAATTATCCTTAGGAACCAGTCAATTAAAATCACTGAGAATATTTCTTGGTGAAGTCTTCCTATTTTTGTCTTTTCTACTGAATTGGTAGAGTAGGTACACACACTCGTGTTTCGTCCTTGTAAGAGTTGTCATGGTTCATTTTCTGTTTCTAAATATATGAGGCTTATATTGTTTTTCAACTCATACAAGCAGGTTGAGATTCTTATATAACAACTAATTACTGTTTGTCCAATATTTGGTCTCAGAGAAGAATGAAGACACTTAGTTCTTTAGTAAATGATCTCAAATGCTCATTGAAAGTTAAGTGTAGGTAAAACTGTGCTCTGAGAGCTAGATCCACATAGATAAAACATGTTAGCTCTTCAAGAAAATAGAAAACAAGCGTATACACTGTTTGTCACCAAATTTTCGTTCCCAGTATTTAATGGCATGAACCATAGACTCTTTACATTGCTTCGGTTGATCTAATGTGTTTTCACTGACTATGCAGCTTGTGGGAAATATTACATGTGTTTGTGCAAGTGTACATGTTCAAATATATGTAATTGCTACATATCCTTGAATGCTAGTAAATTTGTATTGGTTCTTCTAATTACCCGCACACCAAATAATCTTAAAATTTAATGGCTTCAAATGATAAAATTTGTTTTTGCTTATGGTATTTGTGTATCAGGAATTCAGTAATGGCTCAATTGAGTAGCTCTAGCTAGAGATTTCTTGGGTACTCACAGTGAGACAGACGTGGTCAGAGCTGGAACAGCAAGGGTAGGGGCCTGGGGCAGCTGCAGGCTTGCTGTCTACCTCTCTCTTCATGTGTTCTCAAAGCCTCTCTATGTGGTCTCCTGCAGGGGTTACTTTGGACTTTATTACAGCACAGAAGCTTTAGATACCTAACATAAATGGCTCACAGCTCCAAAGATGAGTGTCTTAAGGGGCAGGCAAATGTGGCAAAACCTTTATAACCAAGTCTTGTAAATTTTATAGCATTACTTTTTCATAATCTATTAGTTGAGGCAGTTGCAAAGCCCACCGGGTTTCAAAAGGAGGGGACAGACACCACCTTTATATTGGGTCACAGCATTCTGGAAAAGCCAGTGGGACAGGAAATACCATTGGGCCTTTTTATAAACTGCCACTTAGGTTTTTAAAACTAGCCTAATAATTACCCTAATTATATGCTTTTTCATACTAATAATTAAATAATAAGTACAGTTCACAGATAAGCCAAAAAACTCCCACATTTAAAAAAAAAATACCTATTTTAGCACTGTCATGGCTACCAATACTTACCTTACTCCTGTCTATTCTCTTGATACAATTAATTTGTTTTGCTTTAAATGAGATTAAGAGGTGTTGAAAACGGTGAGCACACACTGCCACACAAATCACTGTCTTCACTGTAGAATGAAATTATGTCCATGTGTTTCTGAAGCTGTGTTTTTTATGTCCAGACCTGTTCATCAAAGTCCTAACTCTGTACTGACAGCTTTTCAGAGTTTGTTATAACTTCTATGATTTATCTGTCATGCACATATCATTCAGCTCTATATTTAAATTATGAATACCTACTTACTTATGAAATAATGTACACTAGGAAGATCTCTTTTTAGAGCAAAATATCAATGTGCTCTAGAAATGAAAAGTAGCAATTAGATTTTTGTTGCTCTTTTGTTAGCACAAAACACCCTGAAATATTTGAAGTTGCTGTGTTAAATGCTTCTCTAAATTTACAAACTTTTCTCTTATTGAATGCAAATAATATAATAGTACATATTTTGGATACTAATATAGTAATAAATATTCTGAATACTAGATACTCTCTATAATGTGGCAGTGTATTTGATTTATATCCTATACAATTATTACTTATCCAGTAGTGGTATCATTTACTGTATCTTTACAAATAGTGACCATATCAATTCCTGAATTCTTCTGGTCAAGAGTGGGGGCTGCTAATCAATTCCTGTGTTTTTAAGTAGGGATTAAGTCTAAATGCAATACTTTAAAGTTGTCCCACTCTACAATCACATCATTGCTACTGCTACTACATTGCAGAAACAGTTGCCCAAAGCATATTTATAAATGTTTAAAACATCCTTTGTCTCGCTCAGAAAAGAATGTGAACATTTTTTTGTTGTCATGGTGGAAACTATTTTTTTTTTCCCGTTGAACGTTTTTAAGGTTAATCTGAAATAAAATGGGGGAAAATATCTGTTGCTAACATTGTTTGGTATTACCCAGCATTCAACAACTTCTACTCTAGCTGAGACATAGTTCCACTACTATATCCTAAGAAAAAGCAAAGCTTACAATGAAAACAATGTTAGAAAATTTATTGTTTAATATACTTACATTTTCAAGCAGAACATATAATTCAAGTTTTTTGGCCTTTTTACCCCCACTATTCTAAAAATATTATACTCAAAGATTATTATGCTCAGCATGTACTGCTTTTCAATAGGATGGTAACTAATTTGTTTAATTACGCTTTGACTAACAAGTTAGGTTTTCTTTGTTCTTAGATTTATAAAAATAACCAAAACATAATATTAAAATAAAATATTCTACTTCAAAGGTCCCCAACCCTTTTGGCACAAAGGAATCATTTTGTGGAAGAAGATTTTTACACAGACGGTAGCGGGCAGTTTCTGGATGATTCAAGTGCATTACATTTACTGTACCTTTTTTTCTATTATTATTACATTGTAATATATAATGAAATAATTATACAACTCACCATAATGTAGGATCAGTAGGAGCCTTGAGTTTGTTTTCCTGCAATTGGAAATTGCAGGAAATGGTCCCATCTGGGGATAATAAAAGACAGTGACAGATCATCAGGCATGAGAATCTCCTAAGGAATGAACAATCTAGATTCCTCACATGTCCAATTCACCATAGGGTTTACACTCGTATGAGAATGTAATGCAGTGGCTCAACAGACAGGAGGTGAAGCTCAGGAGGTAAAGTGTGTGATAGGGAGTGGCTGTAAATACAGATGAAGCTTCACTTGCTTGCCTGCTGCTCACCTTCTGCTGTGTGGCACTGTTCCTAGTTCTCAACCGACAACAGACCAGTGCTGGTCTTTGGACTGGGGGTTGGGTATCACTGCTTCACCTCACCTTTTATCCAATTGTATTGAGTTCATCATGTTGGTCAATTTTTTAAATAAGCTTTTCCATGAAAAGGAGAAAAAAACCTTTCAAAGCTGTTTTGGTCACATTGAAATTCCACTTTTGTATCTGACGAAGAATATCTTAAAATTTGGTCTTGTAGAACTATATGCATGCATTGACATTTGAAAGGTCTGTATGTAATTGTTTAAAAACCAAATAGAGGTCCAGTTTGGCTCAGAAAGACTTGATTCTGACTTATTAGTGATCTTTTTTGTATTACTCTGAATAGTCTGTTGATGAACATTGTTGATATTATTTTAGTGTAAACTCATTTCATTGATCTGACTCCTAAGCCACTTAAGTGCAATCCACTTTGGGAAATGCAGCGTATGCTCTAGGGACTAGACTAGACGGAATGAACGCATTTAGTAATACTTAATTCCAGTGTGCCAGAGTTACAACTTACTCACTTGGAGAATCACATCCATTACTCAAAACCTAGATTAAACTTTAAAGCATTAAGATATTAAGCATGATCTGGATAGCCCACCAGTTTTCAGTATGTTCTGGGAGCACTCATTTTTAAGAATACATTATCCATGTATCCTTGAGCACTGAAAATGAAACATATCATAGCAGTTATTTTTAAATAATTAAGATAATGAGTTTTAAAGACATGTTTTGGCTGATGTTCATAAAGAGTTATTTAAATAATTTTTAGAAATAAAAATAATTTTTCTAATTTTTAGAAACACACACCTTTATTTAAAATTATCTGATTAAATTGCTGGGATGACCTTTGGAAGGAATATGTAGTAAACAAAGAGACTTAGAAAGATAAACATGAATGCCAAAAGTAATACCGTATCCCCAGTATGGCATTAGACAATGGATTTTACATGTCAAAACCTACATATTACTGAAATGTATACATGCTAATGTTTCACTTGTTTTAAATTTGATAAAAGAAAAAGAATGTAAATAATATGAATACATTTTTTATTTAGAGTATGCCTGTAAATAAAAAAACTTATTTCATAAAATATATGATTTTGCTTTTAAAAATTTTATCCAAATTTGTTTATCTTGAACATTTGACCTATCAACACTGATTAGAATCATAATTTTTAGAATAATAGAATATTTTGTAACATCTATGGATATTTGGTATTTTTATTGTTAATATATAAGATATGCTTTGAAGAATGCTATTTATTTTATAAATGTCTTGGACAAATTTAAATTTGTCATTGCAAAAGCTTATAGGCTATAATTAAGAACTTTGAAATATCAACTTGTTGAAGTAAATTCATGCTAATAACCTTACAGCACTAATTCTACTTATTTCAGACCTTCTGATACTGCTATAATGTTGAATCTATTTATAAATTTAACACTATTATTAGTCAAGATGGATGCATCTTATATTGAATTTTGCTCACAACACATAGTAAAAAATATATTTCTGAGTAGCCCAAATATAGTCTTTCCCCCACCCACCACCACCGCAGATGCTCCAGGTTTCAGGTTTCCTGAGGTTTTTTTTTTTTTTTTTTTTTTTTAATCACTTTTTATGTCTGTTTAACCCATGCTTTCTGGTGGAGCAATACAAAAACCTGACTCTTATTTATAGTATGATTTGGCAAAGTATTTTCATCTCTCTATGTCTTGAATTGTTTCAATTTATTCACCCACCCATTTATTGCTTTTATTGTGTCTCTATTCAAAATGTATTGAATTCTTTGTTGGACCCAAACAAGTTCTTTGTTGAATAATCAGTAGTTGCTAATAATAACCATAGTATGTACCTAATAAGGTAAATGTAAGGTAAAAATAGATAATTGGAACAAAATGAATAAAAAATTCAAACTCATACATATGGTATTTTAAAACCAAGTGAATATGTGTAAATTAGTTATAAAATAGAACTTAGTAACCAGGGTATATTAAACAACTTGTCATCAAGCACTCTGGCCAGTGGTTTTAAAGTTGTGTCTTATACCAAAACAGAGATCTCCAGATCCATTCGATGGTCAAACCATAAATTTGCAGTGATACCATTGCTTGTTGTGGTAATAAGACCCTTTTCCCCCCTGTCTCATTACTTATTACCAGTGTCTAATTACCAATGAGTTAGTCTCCTTCAAACAATTCAGGCCTACTCTCCACTCTGGGCAAGTTGGCTTACAGAAAGAAGTGTAAGTATAGAAGAGAAACTTCATTTATAGTCTATAAACAGTAACTACAATTAGATACAGTATTTTAAAAATCACTTCTGTTTTCATGCATGGGAAATAACAACTCTGACAGTATTATTATCAAACATAAAGACATGATATATGAGAGGCAGCACAGTTGAGTGGAAAGAAAATTATACTGGGAGCTTTGAGACTTCTTGCCCTATTTCAGAAGGATGTTGAGGACATAATTGTTTTGACATGGGAAGACCAGGAGGGTGGTCACAAAAGGCATTGACCTGAACAAGGAATAACTAATGCATATTTATTATGTTTATTTTAGGAAACTAGGAAATGTTATTGAATAAAATGACTTTTGTTTCTCTATCCAGAATATTGGTCTCCCAGTTTATAACTCACATGTTCATTTTGGTAGCTTGGTTCTATTTTATTGATTTTAAAATGAATACTTGTAGACATTTGTGAATCATGACTAAAATGTCTTGCCTGCATACACAATTGGAGAGTACGCGCTGTCTGCCTCTGTTTTGGTCACTCTTGAGAAGTATGCGCATTTCACTCGATAGAGGGCAGTACAGAGGTCTTTAGCACACAAAGGTAATGCTGAGTAAGGAAGTACAGGAAATTATACACAAGACCAAATTAGTTTCAAGTCTTCTGGACTTAAGAATTTTTGTGAATATGGTGTCAGTCTATTTTAGCTTTGGCAGCCAAGTCAGGGTATTGGGTAGAAAAAAAAACTGGATGTTCAATTTTCCAGAGATTTCCTGTGTTTATTATTGTAAGACGGTGATTTATTAAAACTGTCTTACTTCTTCAAGCAGACCAAGATTTCCTCTGTGCTACTGAGGCTAAGATATATGAGGTTTGTGCAAGAAGTCTGTGAATGAGACAGGGTTACAGTACCCAGGCTACAGTGCTATTCATAGCTGGCTAGAGCATTTTCACCCAGGGTTGTCAGGAAGAGCTCTAGTCTCATTTTTTCTCATTACTGAACGTACAAATGTATTGCCTTTAAGAGGAGTTACTGCTCAAATTGAGTTTTGAGTTATAGGGTCTGAAACCACATTATTTACATTTTTATAGTAATCGATGGCATGTGTTGAAGAAATTGCATGCTCTATGTCTCTTTCCTGTTGTATGCCTGCATTCAGAAAGTAATACTATCAGTTGCATCTAATCCAGCTACTGGAGACTGTAGACAAATAACTTCTGAAATTATACACTCCTTTTGAAGAGAAATAAATATTGTCCTGGGTTACAGAGTTGGTGATGGGGCAAAGATAAGCAAGAATCCTTCAAAAATATATATTTAACATTACTTAACAATCTATATTAGAGAGAAGAAGAAATGGGGGCTTAGAGGTCCATGAGTTTATGTTTGCTTCCTAGCAAAATTTAGGAGAGTTGATTAAACAGAGAATTAATGAACATGAGATACACTCGGAAATATTATGGATGTACCAATAATAGGCTATAGCAAACTGAACTCACTTGTTTGTTGATAGTATCTCTGGAGTAGAAACAGAAATACTACAGACACCATGAATCTGTATTTCAAAAGCATCCTTGACTATCTTGATGATATTGCTTTGAGCAAGATATGAAATTTTACCCCAACTGGTATTTTCCAAACTTCTGTTTTTATCAATGAAACATTTTTTTGGTCAGGTTTATACAGAACTTCAATATATGATACAAACAAGAAAATTACCATAAAAGATTTGGTGAGGTCCCTTCCAGGCTGTAGGAGAGGCCCTATCAATGTGATCATCTATTATAAGTTTTAATGAAATTTTCAATAGTTGGATATTTTTGTGTTCTTTTTCTTAAGGAGACTCCCTCCTAAATTGCAATCACTTTAACTTGCAGCCCACAAAATGGGGATTCACCTCTGAATAAAAATACAATTAGATTTCCTTTGCTTAAGTAGGGGCAGAGGGCCTAGAATGTACTAATTTGGCCACCTTCAAGCCAACCTTATTGATTCCCAACCTTGCTGATGTTTCGCATCTCCTGAGAAGTTTTGGCAACTATAGATTTTTGGATTTTACAGAACAGAATAAGAATCTGTAACAATAGGTCCAAGAAATCTGTATTTTTACAAAGTACCTCAAATAATGCTGATGACAAATTCAGTTTGAGAGATACTGGGCTAGATGATAAAAATATGCCACAAAACTCTTTTGCCTGAGGGTGAGTTATTTCTAGGGGCTCTACATTTGATATTCTGATGTGCAAAATCTTTAGCAGTGACTAAGATGAAGATAGAAGATATGGATGATATAGAAGATAGATGACATGAAATGCATGTTTTTCAACGATGTATTAGAGAACATGCCTTGCAGTCAGATAGACTTGGGTCCTTGCCTGGCACTTGCATTCATCAGCTGGGTGATCTTCTTTATGTCTAATATCATGGGCTAGTTCTCCACAAAAATTGTTGAGGTTAGACATCAACAAGGTTTGGAATCAACAAGGTTGGTTTGAGGGAGGCCAAACCAACCTTCTTGATTTCTAGTGTGAATTCTAGGCCTCTGCTTCTACTTCAATAAGGAAAGCCTAATTTTATTTTTATTCAGAGGCGAATCCCCATTTTATGGGCCTGAAGTGATTGCAATTTAGGAGGAAGTCTCTTATTAGGCTGTTAAAAATGTATAAAGGGATACCACATAAAGCATTAAATACCTATAGGTTTAACATGTAACTCAGCATAAAGT